TTTATTTATGTTCAATACCATACAATGACTATTTATGGATTCAGGTAGCGCATCAGACCCTCTCGTATGTCCCTGCCCTCCTCCTCTGCACCTTGTGCCACTGCTACCCCTGGCTCTGCTGCTGCTGGTGCATCCCACCCATCATCATAGGTCTCTCCATGACTCTCGCAGAGGTTATGCAGAGCACAGCATGTCAGCACCATTGATTTAACAAGTTTCACATCACAGTCATTTCTTTTCATGAGGCAACGCCACCTTCCCTTCAGTCGACCAAAAGCGTTTTCAACCACTACCCGTACTCTGCAAATCTTCTTGTTGTATGTCACATGTTCTTCTGTTAGCCGTCCAGTGTCAGCGAAGGGTTTTATGAGCCAGTTTTGCAAGGGATAGGCATTGTCTCCCAGGATGTAATAGCCAGCATTCACCCCACCAATGTTCCTGGTGCAAGCTGGAAAGTAGTTGCCACGACTGGCCAACTCCCACAATGTGGACAGTCTCAAAACCCGAGCGTCATGCAAGCTCCCAGGCATTCCTGCAAACACATTCCAGAAATGTCCCTTACCATCAACAACTCCTTGAAGGATGATGGAGTGCCAGCCTTTACGGTTGAAATAGTCACAGTGGTATTCCTGTGGTGCCAAGATGGGTATGTGTGACCCATCAATAGCACCTACACACTGAGGGAGCCCCCACCTCTGATCAGTGTAGGCAGCCATTTCTGCAAATTTCTCCCGGTCTGGTGAACGAATTAGTTCCGGTACTAACAACGTCTCTGCAGCAGCACAGAAGTCTTGCACACACCGGCACACAGTTGTCTTGCTCACTCCGAAAAGATGTCCTATGCTTCTGTACTCACAGCCGGTAGCAAGCTTCCACAGTGCGATGGCCACTCTCTTCTTAAAAGGTATACACACGCGGAATGGTGTGTCCTGTTTCTCCATCGCTGGCCGCAGTTTGTTGCACAGGTAGACGTAGGTTTCTTCAGACATCCTGAAGTTCTCCACCCACTGTGTGTGTGAAAGATGGAACAATCACATTCCACCACTCGGTAGCTCGGTCGAGCATCCAAACACATGGTCTAGGGCGGCGAAGTAACTTCTGAAATACACAAACAAAAGCATACATATTTTAATACGTAAAAGTGGTAGCTACAATTAATTAAATACTTGAAATTCTTTGGTCGTATGGGGAGCGTGAGCCTAAACACATTGCTAGTTAGCGAACGTTAGCTTACCAAGTAGCATTGTAGTCTCGAAGAAGTATTAGTAGCAGTAGTAGTAGTAGTTAGAGTCCTCCAGTAGTCTCTGCGGGCTGCCAGAACTCTCGCGTCAGCTGCCTCTATACCTCGTCTTGCTACAAGTCGCCTCTTTCGAATCATCTCTTGCCTATTTCTTGTGATAAAGAACCACACAGCAAGCAACAAGCAAACGATCTTTTCAACATCCTCCATTGTTGTGTGTTGTGTCGCATTGAAGATGACGTCACGGCAGTTTTAAGCAGCGTCGCTCCGCCTACACTGCGTTACTATAGATACTGACCCGGTTCCTAAACTGTAATGGAAACGCGCCACAAAGTGAGCTGGTCCTAACGAGGCCGGGCGCGGCCAAAGGAGGCCGAGCGGGGCCGAGCGAGGCCGTGCCGACATAGGCCCTCAAACACTGTACTATCCTTCTCTAATGGCGCATTTCCATTGCAGCGCGTAGCTCGCTTTAAGCGTGCCGTGTCGTGCCGTCCCCTTTTTTGGTTGTGCTTCCACTAGGCCTCGTTCCGGCGCGGCACGACGCGGGGCCACTTTTTCCCCTCTTTTCTGGCCCTAGAAAATTGTGGTTCTATCGGGGCCAACAAACAGGGCTGAGTCGGGCTGAGTATGCTAAACTAGAGAGAGGAGCGCTGGCAAGAGGGCTAGAACTACAACAAGATGGACATATTTGACCGTGATTTAATTGTAATACACGTTTCAAAATGATGCCGAAGTAACAACATACTGATACCGGTTAGTAAAAACCATGAATTAATGCTTTGTCAAGTCTGCAGACAGACGGCAGGCGAAAAACCTTTTAAAATTCGTGTTTTTCTAGATGGAGATTGGCTAAGCTAACGCAGTATATGCCCCGACCGTCCACACTCACAACAACGGCCTATACAGACATAAATAAAGCAGCGACTGTATTCACCATGACACAGGCAGTCTGTGGTGTGTACTTGTTTAACTTTTGTCGAGTTTCTGAACATATATAAGGAGCTGTGAGCTCTGAGTGCTAACGGCTAACGGCTGTGTTGTGTTTCTGGATTTCTCATTGAAGATGACGTCACGGCTCCGCCTACACTGCGTTACTATAGTAACTACCCCAGTTCCTAAACTGTAATGGAAGCGCAGCATGAAGTGAGTCGGCCCTGTTAAGGCCCAACGCGGCCAAGCCGTACCGAGCCGTACCGAGTGTGGCCGAGGCCGACCGTGTAGTGGAAATGCGCCATATGTGAACAAAGAGCCTGGATTATGACCAAAAATCACAGGATTGATGAGTCTTGTACGCTGAGTTGATCTTATCCACTTCAAAAATGTTGTCTTAGATGATTGCTTTCCCTTTGATTTAACAGGCACTGATTTTTCTGCTTGAATATTTCTGGCTGTGAAAAGAAAGAGGCAAATAATAGACAAGGTGACACAGAGAAATATTTCTGGCTGTGAAAGACTTGAGCTGTGTTTATAAGTGTTTAAAACTGCAGTCTAACTTCCAGTCGTCTCATTAAAAAATGTCAGACTTTCAGTGTGGTATAAAAGGCGAAAAAAGAAAAGAAAATGGAAAGTGTTAAATGTGCAGCGGGCGATACCATCTGGTCACAACTTTAAATATGTTATCATGTTGATGTGCAAATGAAGAATTCTCACTGGTTCAGAACCTTTTTCCTTAAGTGAGTCCCTTTTCTTTTCTGACTTTTTTAATGGGTATTTCACTTTATATTAAATACATAACAATAACAGTGCACAACATCTAATACACTTCACTATGAATCCAGAACAATAAAACTGCAGGAGTATGGATAAAGCGAGATGTTTGCATGCATTTTGAGCAGATTTGGGAAAATCTGCATTTCCCCATAACGATGTTGTTTAACAACCGGCGTAAACGGACCTTCGCGCGCTATCAAGCAGCAGTCAGTCAGTGAGCGTGCGATGTCCTGTTCAGATGACGTCAAATCCAACGGGATGCCATAAATAAACTACAAAGAATCACACTACACACCTACGCAATGATTACATTCAGGCAAACTTTAGAATACAACCTCTTTGGACAATTTATATACTTATTGAACACAAGCTACAAAATGTAACACCTTTGAAAATGCCTTTTAATACTTTTTAATAGTCTTAATTGTCATTACCATTGAGAAATGAGAGCTATGCGCACGCTGTTTGCCCAAAGCGAAACCTATCTTACACTCTGAAATCTGAAAACTAGTTTTATTGCTGATGGATTATCAGAAATCATTTCAAAGTGACACAGACACATTGGATTAACCTTCAGTAGCTGTTTTTCGTTTTAATGCCATTGAAGACAACTTTTGATCAGAAAACAACAAAGGTAAGACATATCGCCGTGTTGACTAACTAATGCTACGTGGTGTGATGTCTTTGTTAGCTTCTCATGTCGAGAGTTCGGATGGGTCAGTAATGATACCAATACCTGTCGAATCTGTGCAATCTCAGCTTGCTAATCGATATCTTGTTTGTGCAGATACGATAAGTAATAAGGGTATTTTCACGTGAGTTCTGTGCTAAGTGTGTTAGCATTTTTTCGCTCAGGACTAATTCAGAGCCTTTGTTATTACCCTTATGTTTCGTTTTGCTAAAAATTGTTAATATTGTCTGATAGCTGAGTTTCTTCCCGTTAAGTGGGTATGACACATTAATAGGTCTTTAAATGTTAAGAAGCCCTCAGACACTGTTTCTTGCAGATGTTGCGATTTTCCCCCCGGGGCTTAACAGGTTAAGGCTGCAAACAGAAGGAGAACGTTTTATGTTAGTTTAGTGGTTCTGTCCTGGAGATGATCATTTTACAAAATACAGTTACTCAAGTAAATCTTCGATCTTCGCAGATCAATTATGAGTCTTCAAACAAATCCCGCTCAATTTAAGGCGCACACCTGCACACTTGCTAGCCTGTTCCATTCTTCATTCTCTGAATGCAAGGAAGGATTCTTGCCTAGCCTCTGAAGGACCTGACTCGGAAGACATGTCCAACCAAGGAAGCGTCCTCGACATTGAGAAACACCCTAAGACTAGCTGGTCCATTACTTGGTCCTGAGGAGATGTAACGATTATTAAACAAGAAACAGTCGAGTCAAGGGGTCAAATAAATGAACATTTGTGATTATTAGCGAATCGGTTGCAGGTACGTGAAATCAGGCTTAGGGAGTAACGTATTACATGTAACGGCATTAGGTAATCAGGATACAAAATAGGCAAATGTATTCCCTTACAGTTACAGAAGCAAAAACAATCAGATAACAGGAACATTTATGTAAAACAGAGCTCATTAACAGGATAGCAAAGATACAAAACATTTAGAAATAAAGAACAATACATCAAATCATCCTATATCTCTACATGGAAACTTGGGAGCCCTCAATCCAAAAATAAAATGGTTCATCAACAGTCAGTGTTTAACATATAAATCAGAAAATCAGTATGACAAAAACATTAAACATATTGTCCACTCATGTTGATAAAGATGGAGTTCATTTAAGTCTTATATGAATGTTGTGCAACAATGTTTATCCAGTCAGACAGATTTTTTTCACGTGTGAACTGTCATATTCAAGACTTATTCATTGTCCTCTCCATCAGCTTCTGTTGCCATGTGTTCAGCTGAGCTGCTGATTGGAGGCTCTGCCTCTCTGTTATCCTCAGTTTGAATTTCATTAAGCTGTGAGGACTGACGACCTACACACTTGTGTCTTTTGAAATCACTAAGCCATTTAAATCTATTGTCACAAACATTGCAGCTGTATGGTTTTTCTCCTGTGTGGACTCTCATGTGTACCTTTACATTTCTATTCTGTGAAAAAGCTTTCTTACAGACTGAGCAGCTGTATGGTTTTTCTCCTGTGTGGATTCTCATGTGTGCCTTTAAACTTCCATTCTCTGAAAAGGATTTCTTACAGACTGAGCAGCTGTATGGTTTTTCTCCTGTGTGGATTCTCATGTGTACCTTTACATTTCTATTCTGTGAAAAAGCTTTCTTACAGACTGAGCAGCTGTATGGTTTTTCTCCTGTGTGGATTCTCATGTGTACCTTTAAACTTCCATTCTCTGAAAAGGATTTCTTACAGACTGAGCAGCTGTATGGTTTCTCTCCTGTGTGGATTCTCATATGGTTCTTAATATATCCTTTATGTGTAAAAGATTTCGTACAAACAGAGCACCCGAATTGTTTCTTTTCAGCACTACGTCGTTGATCACTGACAGATTCATGTCTATTTTTCAGTGAGTTTGAGCCTGACGCAGGTTCTCTGGTCTCTTTCCAATCAGCACTGTCTTCAGTGTCAGGTTCAGAAGAGTCTCCAGTGTCGCCCTCAGTCTTTGGTTGTAAACTGCTCTCTGGATCTGAGTTCCTGGCTGGTTCTGGTCCTCGACAGTCATCTCCATCAGCTTCTGTTTCCATGTGTTCAGTTCGTCTTTGATGAGGCTGTGGGGACTGAGGTTTCTCTTTATCATCTTCACTCTTCACAGGGTCAGGAGTGAACGTAGACTTGGTGATATCAGCCTCCTCCAGCTCCTGAAGCTGCTCTCCCTCCTGACTGATCCTGAGTTCCTCCTGTTCCTGCTTAATGTGTGGGGGGGGCTCTGGGTCCTCCTGGTCCAGACTGGTGCTCCACGCCTGTTGGTCATGGAGAGGCTCTTCTTTAACCACCACCAGCTGCTGGACATCTGCAGGGAACAGGAAACACACAAAACATGTCTAATTTTGTTGGCTCAATTCACCTCATGTAGCCCAGCCCCTTTCCACTTCCAGTTAAACATTTAAAAGAGTTTTTTCTTCTGGTTAAGCACTAGCCGCAATGTAAACAATGAATTGTATTTGGGATCGTTCACAGATACACTACGCCTACAGTATAGAATGAAAATACTCTGTTACAAATTAAAATCCTGCATTCAAACCTCATTTAAGTAAAAGTATGCAAGTATTATCCACATTTTGTACGGCACCTTCTTATGTAAAAGTAATGATGGTGCAGTAAAATGTTCCCTGTCAGTGTTTCATTTATGATGTTTCTTGATTATTTTGTATGCTGCATTTTACTGCTGTACATGTTTAAAGTAGCGCTTGTATAAATGATTATAGATGAGGGAACCTGCTAAATATTAAAATATGTGTGTTTTTTGTATACAGTACCTGTCAAAAGTTTGGACACATCTTCTCATTCAATGGTTTGTTGATTTGAATTTGTTTCTACGTTGTAGATTAATACTGAAGACATCAAAACTATGAAAGAACACATATGGAATTATTTAGTTAACAAAAAAGTGTTAAAAAAATCAAGAATATGATTTTAATTCTAGATTCTTCAAAGTAGCCCCCTTCTGCCTTGATGACAGCTTTGCACACTCTTAGCTTCTCTCAGTTTGCTTCATGAGGTCGTCAACTGGAATGATTTTTGAATTAACACGTGTGCCTTGTCAAGACTCAATTTGTGGAATTACTTGCCTTCTTAATGTGTTTGAGACCATCAGTTGTGTTTTGCAGAGGTGGAGTTAGTGCACAGTGGAAATCCCTATTTGACTGCTGTTGTAATCCATATTATGGCAAGAACCACTCAACTCAGTAAAGAGAAACGGCCGTCCATCATCACTTTAAGAAATGAAGGCCAGTCGATCCGGAAAATGTCAAGAACTTTGAATGTATCCTCAGGTGCAGTCGCAAAAACCAACGAACGCTATGATGAAACTGGCTCTCATGAGGAACCCCCCGAGAATGGAAGAGCAAGAGTTACCTCTGCTGCAGAGGATAAATACACAAGAGTTACCAGCCTCAGAAACCGCAAATGAAAGCACCTCAGATTAGAGCCCACATAAATTATCACAGAGCTCAAGGAGCAGATAATCTTAACATCCACTGTTCAGAGCAGACTGCGTGAATCAGGCCTTCATGGTCCAATTGCTGCAAAGATCCACTACTGAGGATGAACAACAAGAAGAAGGGGGGGGGGCTTTGCTGGTGTCACTGTTGGTGATTTATTCAGAATTCAAGGCACACTGAACCAGCATGGCTACCACAGCATTCTGCAGTAGCCAGCAAAATATAAATCATATTCTGGAATTTTTTAACACTTTTTTTGTTTACTAGACAATTCCATATGTGTTCTTTTATAGTTTTGATGTCTTCAGTATAAATCTACAATGTAGAACCAATTTAAATAAATAAAAAACTTAGAATGAGAAGATTTGTCCAAACTTTTGACTGCGTCTAATACTAGTGTATATCTCTCCCAAAATATATATTCTGTGTATATATATATATATATATATATTGTTAGGGAATAATTTGCTTAGGTATTCAACCTTCGACAAAGTTCATCGTTTTCTCTTCTCACTGTCTCCTGTCCCATGGCATAGTTATACGGCCTTGGGTATTGCTGCTATCTCTCTTAAGGAGGGGCAGCTTGGGCGCATTGTTGTTGCCAGTTTATCACCGAGCACAAGCTGACATGATAGTTTATTATTCAGGGACATCTAGAGGCCCTTCTTTTCATGAACGTAGGTTCCCTGGCGCACATTCTTTTCTATTGACGACAGCTTTAGTTAGATTCAGGGTCCGTATTTGTTTAGTCTCGCTGATAAAGAATGTTGATTATTACACTCTGAACTAGTTAAAACCTCGAACTACAGAAGAGTTCTTCAGAATTGGTTTGGCATCTCAACCGTGTGGTCAGATCGTGGCCCGTGACATGTCTTGTGAATTCTCCGGCCGAAGCTCCAAATAATCCGTCAGTGTTTGCCATCAAAGCTCCAGCTCTCCTCGTGTCTCTCCGAGTCCTGTCTCAAATTGCTTCAGAAGTTTCCCCCACAAATTGGCGTTGTCGGCAGGATACCAACAAATCTTCAGAACTGACTAGTGTAATTTCAAATCCACGACTTTACTGGCATTGATCCGGACCAGTGACCTTGTATAAAGTTCACAACTGGACCTTTAATAAAGAAGTTTGAGTACCCCTGCTGTAGCGAGTAAAATTCTAACACAGAAAATACCTCCCCAAAACGCCTCGTTGGAGATACGTCACTGCCCATTTGAGTCTTCCATTTAGTTCCGGGTACGGCATGATGTCATGCGGTACCCGGAACAAAATGGACCAATCCGGAAGAGCTATGGTCACACCCAGCGGCGCTGGCCGCACCCTCTGCCAGCCTAACATTTACTGTTGGAAGCTCTGGTTCAGTTCACAATCGATCCAGTCATGCCAATGCCAAGGACCTGTTTCCTGAAATGTGAGGAGAAATCTGAGCTGTTTGTCCAACCGACGGAAGAACCACGACGAAGTCAGTGGTTGAAATTTATTTTTAACACTGTTCCTTCAGAGGTTCGAAGAACGTTACTGTGTGCGCAGTGTTATGTCAAGTCTTGGACCTTCTCAATATAACTATAATTTAATTACAGTTTCCAGATATTGGAAGAGGCCCATGAGTCTCTTTGCTAATTATCAATGGTCTTTGCAATTAACAGCAGATGTACCCATGTTAAGTAAATTGGCAAAGGTCAGAGGAACTCCAAGAGAGGTCTTCCTCAGATATAATACAGTTAAAGTCTTGTTAGTTAGTGGTTCATATCCAGCATGCATTAGCTAAGAAACGATAAGGATGTTGGTGTGTGACATCTGGAACTTACATGTTGCTCTGATGTTGGTGCGTCCAAGTTTAGGAGACCTGACAATGTGTGTGCGTTAAACATGATTAGGGAACATGTTCGTGTGTCATTTAGGAAACCTATAAGTGTCCTGTGTTTCTGAATATTCGCGGGAGCATTTCTGCGATTGGTTGCTGTTGAAGCAAGGTAATGTTTCCCCATTGTTGTTTGGTGGTGCGCAACTAAATAATAATGATTAATCTCAACTATTTCTGTGTTTGTGTTTCATTGATTCCTCTCCGTTTCATTCTTTCCTGTTGTGTGAGTGCTGGATCTCCCCAACAGCAGCATTTCACAGACGAAAGCTTCCAAAACATTGCCCAGTTTGAGGCCGGATAAGCACAGCATTTGAAACTGAAGGACGATGCTATTCCTAGTTTGTTTGGACCGTTTGGAGCAGGGGAAGATTCGGGTACACAACCTGTAAGTTTGCATTGTTATTTGTGTATTTATCAAACAAGACTGTTTAAATGTATAAACTGTGTCGGACTGCTAAGCCATTGACACAGTGCTAACTGTGCTAACTAAGTTGCTAGCGTTTCCATATATCAACTCTAATATCAGCAGATGGCCTTGCATACAGTACATGTATCTCATAGCAGGAGAATGTCTGCATTCACACACGAAATACTCAGACAGTATACTCCGGGTGATTTGCTGTACGGTCAGTCGCAAAACGTAATTACATTATAGCTGGCGTAGCGTGTATGCTACCGAGCTAACCAACGGAGCTAGACATGGGTTTGCTCGGGAATATTTTGTGTTATGCCAGCTACAATGAATGTAGCAGACTACCCGTATAAGATTGCAATTGTAAACACGTTCTTGCTAGCCTAATATGAATCACTAGCTTTTGTTCATAGTGGTTTTATTACACAAAACAAGCCCAGCTTACTGGGCTAACAACGTTGCTAGCGTTTAAATATATCAACTACAATGTCAGAAGATGGCCTTACATGTTTGTCATGGCAGGAGAATGTCTGCAGTCACACACGGAATAGTCATACAGTATACTCCGGGTGATTTACCGTACATTGTGACAGTACATGTACATACTGCATGTATAGCTAATGAGGCTAGCTATACATGCTAGCGCAAAAACAATGTATTCATGACAGTTACAATGAATGACCGAACGTAGCAGACTACCCGCATAAGATTGCAATTATAAACACGTTATTGCTAGCCTAATATGAACCACTAGCTTTTGTTCATAGTCGTTTTATTACTCTACATTATAGTTGCCGTTCCTCCGAGCTAGCGTTCATGTCGTGTTAGCTACCAAAGTAAACAAAGCTAGGTTAGCATATTAGCTGGCAAGCTACTGTGTTCATTAGATAGACTCCTACCACAACTACTACTAACGAATCTAAAACAACTAAGTTTATCTAATATTTTGTGATTTGCATTTGATTTCGTCCAGCCAGATCCTGCCGGACAATACATGACGGGACTACCACACTGATGCATCGTCCTAAAAAGCCCCGGCTGCTATAGGCAAGATGCCGACAACGGGGAGGAATTGATGATATACCGTGTATATATGTATATTTATGTTCATTTTGTACATTTCTAAAAATAAAGTTTAATGGAAATACTTAGTAGGC